CCATCAGGTACCCTCTTTATTTTTGTAGTTTTATCCTCAGCATCTAAAACAGTGCCTGGCTGCCAGGTGTTTATGAAATACCTACTGACTATTGACCGTGATTCTTTGGACAGGAACATAAAAGTCAAATAGACGTTAAATCTCTCTTCCTCATCTCTCTTTGGTTTTCCTGGATAGGGTTCTTAGTTCCTCCAGCTGTCTGCCTTGGCTCCCCAAAGTACTAAGTGACACTCTTATGTACACCTTCTAAACATGCCTTCAGAATCTCAGTTGGTTAATACGTTCCTGTCAATCTTTGTTGGGCTCTTTTCTTCCTCTTCTTCTCAGAATTCTATTTTTCTTTTTGTTTTCCAAAAGTCATTCTTAAGTGTTTCCCATCTCTCCTGGGCTGACTTCTGTAGAAATTTGGTGCAGGAGATCCCACCTGTCTTTCTCTGAGTGCTCTGCAATCTGGTTTTCCAAAACTCTAACTCACAACTTTCTACTTTCCTTCTAATCTTGGTTGCATTGGCTTTGTTTGTGCACAAACTTTTCAATTGAATGTCATCAAAGTTATCCATTTTGCTGTTTGTAATGTTCTCTATGTCCTGTTTGGTCATGAATTCTTCTGTTCTCCATAAATCTGATAGGTAAACCATTCCTTGCTCTCCCAGTTTGCTTACAGGATCAGCCTTTCTCTCTAAATCAGGAACCCATTTTGACTTTATTTTGGTATAGGGTGTGAGATTTTGAGCTATGCCTAGCTCCTGCCATACTCTTTTCCAGTTTCCCCAGCAGTTTTGGTCAAACAGTGAGTTCTTATCCCAGAAGCTGGGGTCTTTGGGTTTATGAAATAACTGATTATTATAGTCATTGACTTCTGTGTCTTGCCTACTTAACCTATTCCCCTGATCCACCACTGTGTTTCTTAGCCAGTACCAAGCACTTTGGATGATTGCTGCTTTATGATACAATTGAAGATCTGGAATGGCTAGGCCACTTTCCCCTGCATTTCTTTTCATTAGTTGCCTTGATATTCTGGACCTTTTGTTCTTCCAAGTGAATCTTGTGATTGTTTTTTTTTTATTCAATCAAAGAATTTTCTGGTTGTTTGATTGGTATGGCACTGAATAAGTAAATTAGCTTAGGTAGAATTGCCATTTCTATTAGATTAGCTCGGCCTACCCATGAGCAACTGATGTTTTTCCAGTGATTTAGACCTGACTTTATTTGTGTGAAAAGTGTTTTGTAATGGTGTTCATAGAGTTCCTGGGGGGTTTTGGGGAGGTAGAGTCCTAAATGTTTTCTAATGTCTACAGTAAGTTTAAATGGAATTTCTCTTTCTATCTCTTGCTGTTGGGCTTTGTTGGTAATAGATAGAAATGCCGGTGATTTATGTGGGATTCCTTTATAGCCTGCAACTTTGCTAAAGTTGTTTCTTATTTCAAGGAGTTTTTCACTTGCTTCTCTAGGGTTCTGTATGTATATCATCATATCATGTGCAAAGAGTGATAGCTTTGTTTCTTCCTTGCCTATTCTAATACCTTCAATTTCTTTTCCTTCTCTTATTGCTAAAGCTAATGTTTCCATTATGATACTGAACAACAGTGGTGATAATGACATCCTTGTTTCACCCCCAGTCTCACTGGAAATGCTTCTAGCTTGTCCCCATTACATATGATGCGTGCTGAAGGTTTTAGATAGATGCTATTGATTATTTGAAGGAAGACTCCATTTATTCCTATGCTCTCTAGTGTTTTGAATAGGAATGGGTGTTGTATTCTGCCAAAAGCTATTTCTGCATCTATTGAGATGATCATGTGGTTTCTGTTAGTTTTGGTGTTGAGATGACCAGTTATGCTAATATGGAACCAGCCCTGCATTCCTGGTAGAACTCCTCCCTGGTCATAGTGTATTATTCTTGTAATAAGTGGCTGTAATCTATTTCCTAATGTTTATTGAATTTTTTTACCTCTACATTCATTAGAGAAATTGGTCTATCATTTTCTTTCTCTGTTTTCACTCTTGTATCATAAAAAGAAATTGGTAACACTCCTCCTTCACCTGCTTTCCCAAGTAGTCTACGTAGTATTGGAATTAATTGTTCTTTAAATGTTTGATAGAATTCACTTGTAAATCCATCAGGCCCTGGACATTTGTTTCCTAGGGAGTTCATCAATGGTTTGTTCAATTTCTTTTTCTGAGATGGGGTTATGTAAGTATTTTACTTCCTCTTCTGTTAATCTGGGTAATTTATATTTTTGTAAATATGTATCCATTTTACTAAGATGGTCAAATTTATTGGCATACAGCTGGGCAAAATAGTGCCTAATTATTGTTTTCATTTCCTCTTCCTTGATGGTGGATTCACCCTTTTCATTCATTCATTCATCTGGTAATTTGGTTTTCTTCTTTCTTTTGGTAAATGAAATTAACCAAAGGTGTATCTATTTTACTGGTTTTTTCATAAAACCAGCTTTTAGTTTTATGTATTAGTTCAACAGTTTCCTGAATTTCAGTTTTATTGATTTTTCCTTTGGTTTTCAGTTATTTCTAGTTTGGTGTCTAACTGAGGATTTTTAATTGCTTCTTTTTGTAGTTTTTTTAGTTGTACGCCTAATGCATTGATCTGCTCTTTTTCTATTTCATGTATGTAAGCATTTAGAGATAGAAAACTTCCCCTAGGGACTACTTTCGCTGCATCCCATGAGTTTTGGTATGTTGTCTCATTATTGTCATTTTCTTGAATGAATTTATGGATTGTTTCTATGATTTGTTGTTTGACCCACTCATGTTTTAGGATTAGATGATTTAGTTTCCAATTACGTTTTAGTCTATCTTTCCGCGGCCCTTTATTACATATCATTTTTATTGCATCGTGATCTGAAAAGGATGCATTTAATATTCCTGCCTTTCTGCATTAGATTGTGAGGTCAGTATGCCCCAGTACACGGTTAATTTTTGTGCATGTGCCGTGTACCGCCGAGCAAAAAGCATATTCCTTTCTATCCCCATTCAAATTTCTCCCGAGGCCTAACATACCTACCTTTTGAAATATTCTCTTCACCTCCTTAACTTCTTTCTTGTTTCTTTTGTGGTTAGATTTATCTAGTTCAGAGAGGGGCAGGTTGAGGTCCCCCACTAGTGTAGTTTTGCTGTCTATTTCTTCCTGTAACTCCCTGAACTTCTCCTCTAAGAATGTGGATGCTACAGCATTTGGTGCATATATGTTTAGTAATGATATTACTTCATTATCTGTGGTAGTTGTTAGCAGGATGTAGTTCCCTTCCTTAACTCTTTTGATAAGATCTATTTTTGTTTGTGCTTTGTCTGAGATCAGGATTGCTACCTCTGCTTTTTTCCCCTTCAGCTGAAGCATAATATAGTCTGCTCCAGCCTTTTTCCTTTGCCCTGTGTGTGGCGCTCTTTTTCAAATGTGTTTCCTGTAAACAACAGACTGTAGGATGATGGTTTTGAATCCATTCTGCTGTCTGCTTCTGTTTGATGAGAAACTTCATCCCATTCACATTCACAGTTATGACCACTATCTTTGTCTTTCTCTCCATCCTTCCCCCCCCCCGTTTCTCCTTTTCCCTCCTCACTAGTGTTTTGCTTTGGACCACTGACTGCCTCCGTCCTTCCTCCCTTCTATTAGCCCCTTCCCTTTTCTTCTCTTACCCTTACTACTTCTTCCCTCCCTTCTATCGCCCCTCCCTTTTCGTTGCCCTTTTCCCTCCTACTGCTTATAGGGCAAGTTAGATTTCTATACTTAACGAATTATGTTATTCCCTTCTTGAGCCCAGTCTGAGGAGAGTGAAGTTCAAACACTGCTCATCTCCCTCCCTTCTTTCCCTCTGCTTTCATTGGTTTTTGTGTCTTACAATGTAATTTACCCTTGTCTGCTGCCTCCTTTCCTTTTCTCTCCATACATTTGCTTAGATCAGATTAATCCACTTACTTGGATCCATTTAACCGACTTGATTACATTTTATTTTATCATTACATCAAAGTCAACTTATATGCACCCCCTTTACCTATACCCCTTTGACATGGTGGAATAACAATACAGTTCTCAAGAGTTCCAAGTGTCATCTGCCCTTGTAGGGATGTCAACAGTTTGCCCTTATTAACAACATATTGTATCTTTCTGTCCCATTTACCTTTTTATGTCTCTCTTGAGTCTTGTATTTGAAGATCACATTTTCCGTTGAGCTCTGGTCTTTTAATGAGGAAGGTTTGGAAGTGCCCTATTTCCATGCATAACCATCTCCTCCCCTGAAAGATCATGCTCATTTTCGCAGGGTAGTTCGGTCCTTGGTTGTTAGCCTAGCTCCTTTGCCTTATGGAATATCATGTTCCATGCCCTATGGTCTTTTCATGTAGAAGCTGCAAGGTCCTAAGTAATCGTGACTGTGGTTCCATGATATTTCAATTGTTTCTTTCTGGCTGCTTGCAGTATTTTCTCTCTGACCTGATAGTTGTGGGATTTGGCTGCTATATTCCTTGGCGTTTTCAATTTGAGATCTCTTTCAGGAGGTGATCAAGCTATGGCTATTTTGCCCTCTGGTTCTAGGACCTGAGGGTGGTCCAAGTGGTCTGGAAAGAATTCCAATGCCAATATCACATCTGTTTCTCAGGCCAGTAAAGTTCTCCAGCTGCTCTCCACCATGCTTCTCATATGTCTCACTCCATTTACAGATATCCTGATACTGATATATATTCTTCCTATACAGTGGTATTTGTTCTCTCCCTCCATCTTTATCTGTCATATTTCTTTTAAAGAAGATATACCCTTATGAAGCTAGCTACTTTGCCCTCTTGGGTCTAATCTTACCAAGTCTCAAATAACCCTAGGAGGTCCAATTTGCCTCTTTATGGTGCACTCTCCAGTTCATATTCATTGTCACCCACAGTGTGTTCATTTGTGTCCAGACATCTGAAACCATGAGCTTTATTTGTGGCTCTTGGCTTGGATGATTTCCTATAAAATCCTCAATGTCTTGTTATTCTTTTTATACCAGCCATGTAGGGCATCCTGTGAAGACACCAGGGCTGCTCTGCAGCTTGTCTGCAGCCTCGGTGACCCTCGGGAATTCCTGACAGATTTTGTGCGGCTGGGAGAAGGGGCAACAGCCATAGTGGAACGAGCCACAGTCACGGACACAGAAAAAAGAGTGGCCATCAAAAGAATGGCCATAACCCAACAAAAGAGGCCTGAGCTACTTTTGAATGAGGTAAATCATGTGCCCTGAGCACTTTCCTATTGCTTGATGAAAGGGGGAGTGGCCCTGGAAGATGTTTTTCAAGAGATTGGTTTCGTGGTAAGAGCGCTGTCATTATTCTGATGTTCGGGTTGACCGATTTTAGAAGCTGTGTTCAATGTAGCCAGAAAAGGGGAGGGGAGAATCAATATTCTTAGTCTTCTTTAGGCACCAATGTCTGGGGAACACAAAAAATTTATGCACATTGTCTAATGAAACCTCTTGCTATCTGACGGTGGAGTCTCAGGGTAGGAGTTGAGAGAACAGGTGTATTAGGCGTGGGAGCACTGGATTGGGTTGCTCAGGACATGGGTCACCAGGTCATAGATTCTGATCTAGAAGAGGCCTCAGAGCAACTGATCCAGTCCCCTTGTTTGAAAGAGGAGGAAAGTGAAGCCCAGAGAGGTTTAGGGCTTTGCCCCAGATCACCAAGGTAGTAAAGTAGTGGGGTCAGGATTCAAACTAAGATTGCCTGATTCCAAATACAGCTATCTATCCACTATACCAAATGCCTGCTTTGCTTTTAATACCTGAGTGACTGTGAGGCATTTACTTTTTCCTTTCTGGGTCTTCATTTTCTAATCAACAGAATGAAGGGGCCACACTAGATATGCTCTAAAGTCTCTTGTATCTCTTAACCTTATAACTGTATGAAAGAATACTCTTCTTTATCACTGAGAAAATGGAGATTCCTTAGCAGTCAAATCACTCGTCCACTCTAATGGGAAACTGATGATGTTGAGCGCTGGGTAGGTGAGCAGCTTCTGGAAGGGAGCTCTTTGACAGATACACTCCTGCTAAGTAAACTTGTTGGCTGTTTAGAGGTCATTCAAAGAGCCCGGTTAATTAACTTCTCTTTTTCCCATCAGATACAGTATCTTGACAATCGATATGTTAACATTAGGCCATGTTTACCAATGCCCCATCTAGAGACATGTTATTATCATTGAAAGTAGTAGCTGAAGTCTTAATGGCAATAGTGACATTCCTAAAATCTACATTACCCAACTCCCAGAAGGGAGTGACCTGTTTACCCTTCTCTTTTTTTCTCAAATATTTCTTGCACATTCATGGATCAAGAACCAGAAGCTATCAAATTATAGACAGCCATGAAGCTAAATATGTAACTTTTCACTTTCAAACAAATCGATGGAAACTGATTGGATTCTTTAAGAATGCTTTCCGTGTAGCATTGCCACCTAGTTTCTCTGAGGAAGGATCAGGTGCACCACTTGCCTCATGTATTGCTCAACTGAATTGCTATTTTTATACGTAGCCCAAATATACTTTTATAAATACTGCAAGAAGTGTGGTGGTCTGACTTTTATCTTATGAACCATCCCAAGACATTTGCTGGGTCACATCTTCTTCTGCCTTTTATCCAATGGCCCCAAATCCATGCTGCTTTCAAACGGACTAAAGACTTGTCCAGCTATTATAAGGATTTTTTTTTCCCAAAAAGAAATTCCTTCTTACCGAGTTTATCGTGTTAATTGTTTGATTAGGGTGAGGAGAATAGAATCCCACTCTTACACCCTTGTAAGTTTTAAAAGTCTAATAGTGAGAAGAACTGTCTCCAGAGGAAAAACATAGAATTTCACCTTCTCATGCAAACAAGTATGTGAAGAATTTGTGATTTTCTTAGTATGTGACTCCAGGGGCTCCCATTTATGACGGAATGGAGAAGTCCTGGAGAATCTCCTGATACACACAGAGGTTTTGTCACTTGCCCAAGGGGACACAGCTAGTAGATGTGAGAGACAGGCTGTTAACCCGGATCTTCCTGGCCATGGATCCAGAACCAGATTTGTCATTCCAGACCCCCTCTTTACTAACTACCAGCCAGGTCATTTCCTTTTCTTTTGTATAGGTTGCGATGGGGAATTACGAGCATGAAAATATAGTTGTGATGTACAACCCTCCCTACCTGGTTGGAGACGAGCTGTGGGTTTTGATGGAGCTCTTAGAAGGTGGGGCCTTAACGGAAATTGTAACTCACATGAGGTAAGTTTATTTAGTAACTAGGGATCCCTGGGAGAGTATTTTTTTTTATACACTTGACTTTCCCTCACAGGTGGTAACCCAGTGACCCATGTGATCACTAGATCAACCTTGTTGAGATCTCCATTGAAGTCTAAGAAATTCATAGGGAGGCATTGCATCTTTCCATCACAGAATACTCCCCATACAATAGACAGGGAATAAGGCAGCATTCAAATATCTACTGTATTGAAGTTCACATGCCCTTGCACATGAGAAATGCTCCGTGATAAATCCTATAAGAATGAATTATACTCTTCGCTTTTTAATCAATCACCCCACATCTATTCACTTATTACATGCTTTCTCTGTGCTATAGACTTCCCTAAGTGGCTGGGATATCAAGAGAGACAAAAACAGTCCCTACCCTCGAGGAGATGTCACTTCAATCAGGGAAACAACATAGAAATACCTAGCTCCATGAAAGATACATGCAGAGTAGCTGGCAGATACTTGGAGGGGAAGGCTCTGGAAGCTTGGCGACCAAGAGTAGCTTCTTCTCTAAGAAGCCAGAAGAACTAGGAGGCAGAAGTCAGAAGGAGAAGTATTCCAAGCATGGAAGGAGTGTATTAATACTGTATGCTACAAGAAATTGAAGAGAGGGGCAAGACAAGAGATATTTTCAAATTTATTTCTAATGAAAAATAGCAGTTATAAGACCAACCACAGAATAGCGTTTTGTTCCATGTAAGAAGAGAGAAATATACATCTGCCATGTTTGAAAACAGTCTTGAAAGAGAAAGCAGTAACTTGCATCCAGTTGCTTCTGCCTTTTGCCTCCCTACGAGTTCCATAAATGAAAGTGGAGCTGGGAGAGTAAGCCTCAGTGAGGAGAAGACAGGGAAGCTTTGTGAAAGTACAATTATGTTGGTAGATGACTGATGAAGCACAAAAGGATGGACTGACCCCATGTTGCTCTGTAGTTTTTCCACTTGGTAGCTTCCAGCCACAAAAGGGTGGCCACTGAAGGGGGCTGGGGAGGGAATGAAGATCTCCACCAATTTCTTCTGCAGGTTCAGCTGGTAGGATATTATCTCCACGGGAGCCCTGGCACAGCACTTGGTACATACAAGCAAGTCTCTTGCTTCCTGAGAACAGAGAAACCTGCAAATCCTAGACTTGTCCAGATTCTAAAGATGATAGTCCAAAGGGGAATTTGTGGGGAAAAGCTCTCCAACTTTCTTTCCAAAGGAAACTTTTTGCTCCCTTAAAAAGTTTTCAATTTTCAGGAGGAAATCAGGGAAAGGATCCTAATTGGCTGCTCAGCTCTCTCTTCCTCCTCCTTTCAGAACAGAGTGGACCTATCTTTGGATCTTCTTCTGATTTTCCTTTTAGCACTACAGAGAAGTGGGACCCCATGGGGCACCAGGATTGAAGAGGAAGCAGTTGAGAAATTGTCAGGCTGTGTCTGGAATATGCCAAATCTTAAACCATAACTATGCACATTTGGGAAGTTTCTACCTTTAGAATTTTGATCAATGCCGATAAACTGTTTGGTTAGATGAAATAAATTTCATTCTCATTCCTCGGAATTCAATCTGGCTTAGCATACAGAGCTTTCTAGAAATCAATCATAAGAATACTGTCAACTTCAGCTAGCTCTGAATAGTTCAAATGCATTGAGTTAGAAAGCAGTCTTACCAGGTTTTAGCAGATGAAGCCTGAATTGCGGAGAGATGACTTCTCAAAGGGTGAGGAACAATGTAATGTAGCCAGTTATTATTATGGACCCCTGCAGACTTTGATTGTCTGCTTGGAACAAAATACAATCCCTTATGGTGGAGAAAAATGCAATAGAAGGAAAATGAGGATACTTTGGACTCTAATCATTTCAGACACATTTCGCTCATGTCAACATAAACGAATTCCAAAAGAAAAAGTGGCTTTTCCAAAACTTCTGGGTAATTACCATAACTAGGGAAAGAAATCACAGCTTTGTGTGCCTTTGTTAGATGTCAACACTGGCAATTAGACATTGCTAGGTCAGACGAAGTCACCAACGTGTTCATATGTTCAACATGAGGGAGACTTTGGTCCATTCCGCTTCCATTCCCCCTTCTTTTGCCGTCCCTTCCCTTCCCTTCCTATCCCTAACTCCACTGTATATCATTTGCTTTATCCAAGAAAGTCTCTACTATCTTTTGAATGAGCCTAATTAAGTGCCTATGTAATCTTATATAAGAAGGGACATAGTCTAACCACACTCTAAACCTGTCCATTTGATTTGACTTGAAACTTCTCCGTAATCCTTTCAAGTTGCTTTTTAAACACAATTTCTTTTTTCAGAATGAATGAAGAACAAATAGGGCATGGTGTGCTTATCCGTCCTGAGGGCTCTGTGTTATTTACACCAGCAAGGGATTGTCCACAGAGATGTCAAGAGTGACTCCATCCTCCTCACAAGTGATGGCAGGGTAAGATATTAAGATTTTCCTTGCCATTGGTGAAAGCCCACAATAAAATCTGATCACCAGCTGTGGACATCAGCCTCTGAGGACAGCTTTCCTGGAGATACTGCTTCCTCTACTCTCTGAACTTCTCAACTTGGTGTCTCTGCAGCCTCCCCTTGGCACATGCATTAGGAAGAAGGACATCATGAGCTATGATCATGATACTGAAAACGTCATCCAATCCATCACACCTTAAGCTTGAGCTGAAATTTCAATTGCATTTCTTTGCTTGAACAGTGACTACAGAAACTCAGGGAGTGCAGAAACTTCATTTTCCTCTTACTGCTTTAACTCTCATGACAATTAGCTATCCTCTACACTTATGAATTAAAATATCTCTTGTGCTTCCATTCCAAAGTGAATTGAAGGTATCCCCTATTTGAGCCATCATCTGGCTGGGCTCTCCAATGGATTGAAACCCAGCTATTCTTGACATTTGCACAGAGGCTACCTGCTTGGACAAGTAGTCAAGGCAGCCATTTCATATATTCCTTCAATGCATCAGCTGCTTTACACTTTACAAGATTACTACAGAGCAGTGAAGGAACAAAAGTTGAACCCTCAAAAGAAATTCGGATTAGCAGAACAAATGTAAAATGACCTGTCTCCCTGCCAGTGAGGGCCATGACAACAATGATAAATGGGAAAAAAAATCTCTCTTAGACATTACTTTCTTTTTTTCCTGCAAAGGGAGCATAGTCACAATTGTCCGGGCATCTTGGCATTGGATCAGACTTCTTTCAGAAATGATTCAGAGAGTCCAGGTGAATCTAGAGACCAAGTAACACTGTGTTCATTGAGTGGCCTTAGGATGCCTTTCCAGCCAGGTCTTGCTTAGTCAAAAAGGGAAAAAAGAAAAAAAAAAGATTTATCTGAAGTAATATTTTTTTCTTGCATTTTTCCACTAATGTTTTTTATTTTTTCATAACTCCCAGCTGTTTATATAAATTTACTGCAAAAAAATGTTCTTAATATTTTATATGTTTTCTTGATGCCATGCTTTCTACTTTTCAAAACCCTGTGAAAGAGATGGAGTGGGCCCAGCTTTTCTTATCCCCATTTCATATAAAAGGAAAGTTGGTGATATGGCCAACTCCAGTTTTCTGACATTTTACTTCCCTAACTATGTTCTCTGCCATCCAGTAACCCTGGCCTCCTTGCTGTTCCTGCCACAAGACACTCCATCTTAGGAGTCTGGAATTGTTGCTGGCTGGAATTCTTCCCCTCCTCATCTCTACCTCCTGGCTTCCTTGGCTTCCTTCAATTGCCAGCTAAAACTCCACCTCCTATAAGAAGTTGTTCCCAGTCCTCCTTAACGCCACTGCCTTCCCTGTTAGTTTCTCCAACTTATACATATATATGTACAGATATGTATACAGAGAGAGATAGATAAAAATGTATTATCATTTATGTCTATGGATGTACAGATGTATTTTTTTTTGTCCATAATTGTCTCCACCAGCAGACTGTGAGCTACTGAAGAGAACAGACTTTTCTCTTTCTTTGTATCCCTACCTGTGCACGTAGTGGCTGTCCCACAATAGCTGCTTGATCAATGCTTACTGATTGTATGGCTACTTTTCCATATAATAAGAAGACAGATTATAGCTCCAAAGAAAAGGATGAAATTAAGGAAGTAAAATAGGGTGATTGGGACGACTATGGTTTTATTGAAGCTGTTCACATCATAGGTGCCATTGTCTCAGTTTTAGCAAAGATATTCTAGTTCAGTAGACTTGTAAGGTACCTGGGGACTGAATGTCTTTTCATTTCTTTTATTTCTTTTTCTTCCCTTGAAAAGTACAAAATTCAAAGTTAATCATTCAAAAACTTGTAAATCCAACTAAACATAATTTGATCTAGCCTGTATGAGTCCATCTTTTCTATGAGGATGTCGAGATCATTTGTCAAAAGTGTCATTAAAATTGAGGCCCACTGGATTCCTCTAATCTACAGTCTCCTAAGCAAGCATATCAGGCTTAAAAATGATGTTCATCTCTCATGACTGTGAGCATAAGCTGATCAACATGAAGCCATGTTGACCATGTGAGATCATTGCTTTCTTTTCTACATACCTATTTTCCATATCTACCATACTCTAAGGAAGTCTGAAGCCCAAGACAGCTATTTTTAGTGACTACCAGGAAGGGTTTTAGAGTCGCAGACTCTCAAATTCGAAAGACATCTCCCATAACATCTAGTCCAACGCATACACAAATAAGAGACCATGTAACAATCCACTATCCCCATTCATTCATGGTGAGCTGTAGTGAGAGGAGGACATAGAATAAATCTCATAGAATCATCCAAGAGCTAGGAGAAACTCCAAAGATACTCTAGCCCAGCCCAGTCCTTCTTCCCCTCTTTATACACCCTGCCCATTTTACATTATACAAAGCAGATTCCTAGAAACTTGCCAAAATCATGCAGTACTGAAAAACAGTTGGGACCTCTCACACCTGGATGATTCCTCACCATTCCTACTCCTTTGGCCAAAAAAAGCTGGTTTACTGCCCCAGCTACACATCTCATTTGCAAAGCTCTCTTTTCTTCTGTCCTAGTGTAGGAGAAATCATTGCATCTGTAGCCATGTAGCTGAAGTTCCAATCCTGGCTGTTACTTACTCATTTTGCAACCTTAGGTAACTCATTTCTATCATCACGCCTCAGTTTGCTCATCCGTAAAACATTCGACTTGTCCTAGATGTCATCTCCAAGGTGGCTTCTGGCTCTAAATCTTATTATACCACTGCATTGCAACTTCTTTCCCTCTTCTTTAACACCTCACACATTTACGGCTCTGCTCTGAGAAATCTGGAACAAATACACCAGTTACTTATTGGGGAAGAAGCCATCACGGTATGATTAATCAACAAGCATCTATGTATTGAGTGCCTACGAGGTGTCAAGCACAGTGCTGGCCACAGGAGATAGAGACAAACATTTAATATGTTCTGTTTTCAAGAAGTACACATTTCATCAGTGGAAAGAATGCAAGGTGTGATCTGAAGTACTCAGAATTCTTTAGCCATCCACTACCTAGGTGACAAAAACATCAATCATAACAACAGAGTTTAGAGAGCATTTGGTTTACAAAGCACTTTTCCTGTGTTAACTCATATGATGCCCTTCAACAACCCTGTGAGGTAGATGCCATTCTGTTTCATGTTTTTCAGTATTCTTGAACCTTACTCCCTGCTACATACTCTGGCCTCTTTTCTGTTCCTTGCATAAAATGGTCCATCTCTTCTTGACTCTGGCCATTTTCACTGGCGGTCCTCTAAGCCTGGAATGCTGCCCTTCCTTATCTGCAGCTCCTGCCTTCCCTGACCTCCCTCAAGTTTCAACTCAAGGCCTACCTTCTACAAGAAGCTTTTCCTAATCCTCCTTACTCTTTCTGAGTGCCCTTCTTCTGAGACTTCCCCCAAGTGAAGCCTGTATAGATCTTGTTTGGACATAATTGTTTGCAGGTCCTCTCCCCAATTAGACTGTGAGCTGAGAACAGGAACTATGTTTTGCCTTTCTGTGTGTCTCCAGAGCTTATCCCAGTGCTTGACGCATGCTTAACCAATGAGTATTGACTTGACTGGTGAGGAAACTGAAGTGGAAAGGTATCTAGTAAATGACTTGCTCAGCAAATGACACAGCTAGCAAGTATATGAGGCAGTCAAGGCTAGTGCTCCAAGCATTGGGACACCTAGCTGCCTCATGAGCGACACATCATTTCAAAAGAAAATCAGATACATATTGATATATACTGTTCTAGGCATCATAGGGGAGATGAAAATATCTGCTAAAATACTGCATATATTATCTGCTAATTGGCCAGAATATGACAACTCATTTAATTTTTAATTTTGTATCTTACTTCATTCATGTCTATATGGAATGGCAGGAAACATGGTCAAGGGGTCCTGTTGTTGCATCTATTGTTTTCCAGATAAAGTTAGCCGATTTTGGCTTTTGCGCTCAACTTACGGCACAAGTCCCAAAGAGGACATCATTCATTGGGACTCCGTACTGGATGGCACCAGAGGTGATAGGAAGACAACCATATGGAAAGGAGGTAAGGAAAAGAAAAATCCATCTTTTCTGCAATCATGAAATACATGAAACTGTACATAGCATAAGGCCAGGAAGAGGGTGAGATCTCAATATATTTCTATACATACCTACATAGCCATACACACAAAACATACATCAATAGATGTAGAGAATATGTACATTTATATGTACATGTGTTTATGTACATTGTACAGGTAAATGTATGTGAATATTTATATGACTATACCTATCTCTATCTATCTATATACATACACATGAACATACACATACACATACATGATGATGTCTTCAGAGCCACAGAAGGAAACCTTTTCTCCCTGGTTCCATTAGTTTACAATTATATGTCTTATACTTTTCCTTCCAGATTTAAGAAAAAATGGCATTACTACCCAGTCATATCATTTACTTGATTAGAAAGGCAACATAGCATGACTGACAGAGCACTAGAATTGTAGTCAGGGGGAAATGGATTGAAATCCTTCCTCAAACTCTTGCTAGTTGTATGACCCTGGGTAATTCACGTCACCCTTGATCTCTCTGTACTTCAATTTCCTCTTTTTGAAAATGGAGGGGAGGATGTGTTAGGAGAGACAGAGCATTAGCCTCTAACATTCCAAACACGTTTAAATCTCGGATCCCAGGGTCATAATTGAATCTGAATTATGTTTAGCTTTCTTCTAAAACTTGAATCTACTCTCCAAAGACAAAAAAATTTGTATCTCAGTCCTTAAGTTTTGTTTAAACAGGTGTCCAGTTTCCTGAGGAGTCTACTCTGAATGAATTAGCAACCACTGTCACGTATAAAATCCAATATTTTTCCATATTGAGGAATCAGCCTCATTGCAGAGTGCAGACTAGAAGTAAAGATGTAGTGAGAATTACTGAAATGAGCAAATTGCCTGAACAAAACCTGAGGATGTGTGTGTACAGTGCAGCTTGTGTAACCTTAGATGATGTACTCAATTCCACTGTTTTCATCTTGGCCCTGAGATACTAACTGTAAATACAGGCCATTGAATAGGGTATAATAGGAATCTATCCAGTGGATAAGATGTGGCAGTAAGTGGAAATTGATACTGTGGTTATTTCATTCCCATTGTTCAGACTTCCTGTTCTTTAACCAGAAATCATTGGGTGTCATCTGCCTGTTCTCCTCCCTGTACCCTGACACTGGATTTAGAAAGCCAATGCTGTACGTTCGAATTTTCAAAGACAACATACAACTGAAAGCTTCCTAAAAGAGAAAGTTTTGCCAAAACAGTTGAACTTCTGGTTTTTTTCTTTTTAACTTCCTTATTTATTCTGAACAATTTGTACTGGAAACTTTTATTTTTAAAAGTTCAGCCAAGTAAATTTTGTGTATATCTTGGCAGCAGGTAGTGGGGGCAATGGTCTGTCCTTTTGGTTTGATAGGTTTAGGGGCCTTCCAATGAGGAAATTCTCTCTACTGATACACACCTGTGAGTGCTGTGTACTTTTCCATAGTTCCCTGAGGCACTGAGACATTAAGTGAATTGCCCAGAGTCACAAAGCTAGCATATGTAAGAGATGATCCCCAGGATTTCCTTAGTCTGAAGGAAGTTCTCTCTCCACTACAACATGCCATGTTGCCTCTCCTATTACCTTCACGGACTACAATTTCCCCTGTTTCTCAGCATTTAAGTTGTTTTTCAGTCTTGGTAATCACACATAATGCTGACGTGGAAATCCTCCAACAGATGGCTTTTTTCATTTTGGTTTTTGCTGATACTTTCAGATTCTATTCCTAACAATGGCGTTATGAGTTCAAAGGCTAGGATGACTTTTTTAATGGTTAATGTGCACTGCCATGTTGCTGTCCAAAATGATTCTGCGACATCAATCCACATCCCTGAGTTTTGATGTTCTGAATTATTTTTGCTTAGCTGGTGATTACGAGGTGGTACCTCAAAGTTCCTTGTAATGTACATCTCTTCGATAGCAAGACTAAGATTTCCCAAGGAATAATTCCCAATTTTGGATGTCATCTTTTGAATATTATCTTTTCGTATCCTTTGACCATCATCCATCTAAACCTAAGGGGAAAAAAAGTATCAGAAATGGGTTCTTTAGAATGTGACACTACTTCAACTTGACTCTCAGTCTACTAAGAGTAACAGAAATATAAGTATCCTATTGTTTCATCTTCACATAAAGCATTTTAAATACTATTTTTCTTAAGTAGAGAGTTGGAAGTGTTCTGTTATTTTGACAATCTCTTTTAATTTGTTGAAGACTTATTCTCAGCCAGCTGCAGGGGGTAGAAAAGGTTCAAGCGAAAGCAACAAACTTTGGAATGATAATGTGTACATTTGCTTTGGTAGAATATTATTGATGAGCTCTACTTCCTTACAAGGGCAACCAGAAACCTTCATGAGAAATTAGATTGTTTTCTTTAGGATCAACTGATACTTAAATGAAACCTCTGTCTAGAAATATATGCTCTCAAAAATCTCCCTCAATGTATTACTGATGAATCATTTGTGAATTACTTGATTTCTGTAGGCAAAATAAGTACTTCAGAATGACCATTTCTCCCTCAATAGTAATCTCTCAACTTGATAAAACAGGTGGATATCTGGTCCATGGGAATAGCGGTAATTGAGATGATCGATGGAAGACCTCCATATTTTACCCAGAACCCATACGAGGCAATGCACAAAATTTATGACGGCTTGCCTCCAAGACCAAAGGCCCTACACAAGGTGATGATGTGTCTTATTCAATATCAAACAATTCTTAATTAACATGTGATGTTGGCATTCTGGGACCAGGGATATTGCATGGAAGCAGTTATCCACTATACCATTAATTTCAACTTGAAATGGATCTATTGATTAGGAGAGAATCCTGGAATCTTAGGAGGGGCCTTAGAGATTCTGTAGCTCTACCCGAAGTATGAATACTCCCTTAAGTTCCTTTTTTTTGGCGTGTGTTACTATTATAACCTCTTTTTTTCTGTCTGAATTGATGGTTCCAGGATAAATTATTTCTAGTAATGGAAAGCATTGCTCTTTTGACTTCCATGTTCCCATCAGGGTTATTTCTCAGAATTAACTGTTTAGACTAAGTGAGCTTTCTGATGACATATTTGAGAAACCAATCGACAAAACTCTGACAATTATCTATGAAAAACCAGTATAACAGAAGGGAAAGAAATTCTACTATTAGAGACAGAAGAAAGTCCGAGGGTAGAATCCCAGCTCTGGAAATTACTAGAGATCTTGGTCTGCTGACTTGTCCCCCTCAGCCTGTTTCTTTCTACACAAAATGGTGATAAGAATCAATTGATTACCTGTCTCACGAGGTAGTAGTCTGAATCCCATTCAATAATATAGGCAATGGATTTTTCTTACCCAAAAAGGACTTTGTGAAAGTCAAGTGTTGTTGGGGTGTGATGATTTATATTTTCTTATTTGTGATGCCTGTGTGATATTACAGGTTTCATCAGGGCTTCAAGGGTTATTACACTCTATGTTAATAAGGGAACCCTCCCAGAGAGCCACAGCGGAAGACCTGCTGGTACACCCATTTTTGCAACTAGCAGGCCCACCGGAATGCATGATACCTCTCCTCAAAAAGAGATACACACCTCTAACAGGTAGGCCCTGTACTTCAAGGTCTGAAGGAGGATTTCCCAGGTGAGATTTGGGGACAGCATGAAAACCATGGGGAAGTCTAAACACCTGTCATTTCCGTTATTTTTTTGAGCCCTTCAGCCAGCAAACCTGAAAGACTTCAGATACAGATTTCTGTTTCAAAAGGTAATAACACATTGCACATGTAGGATAAGCCACAGGAGTTTGCTCTAAGAGGAAAAGCTTTCTGAAGTACTTCAAGTACTGCTGCAAATATGAACTTAGTTTTGAAAAAGAACAACAACTATCTCTGGTCACTCTAGGTAACATTAAGGAGGTTGTCTAATTAATGGGTTTCTAATTAGATTTATATTATATATTCATATAGCCATATTGAAAGAGCAAAGAATTAAGTGTAAGATTACTTGCTGTGGCTTGAATATCCCTGTTTCTGTAAACGGAAAGAGATTCTCTGTGGCAAACAGGATTAAAAATTTCATAAAAGTCAGCAAAAAATATGTGTTTCTGCAAATGGACATATATTTATGTAACATCTATGTGAAATTTTAGAATCCAAAGTGCAAATGCTAGCAAACTAGAGGCCTGGAATTTCAAGGGAAAAACTGTCTGCCTTAAACTGGAAGATACAGATATTGTTTTTAAAAATCTTTTTAATAACCAAAGGAACTGCTAATAACCTTTGCATAAGACAGGAAATTTTGGATTCCAAAATTTTCAACAGCGTAACAAACATTTTTGTGTAATTTCCTTATCTTAGATTTTTGGGAAGGATTCACTGAGTTTACAGAACTTGTCCTGAACTTGTAGCTTAAGAGGTTTTCTGAGCACCAACTACTGACAGAAAGAAAGCTGCATTAGCAAAGACAAAGAAATGTTTGCATTTTCCCCGTTATGCTTTTGGGAGGCTGAACTAATTTACTAAATGAGAGGATTCTTTGAGCAGGGAGGAAATATCCCTTCCTTCATGATCTTGCAGAAGGAAAGTGAACGACACTCAGTAACTAATGAAAGAATACCTCTTAGCACTTGTGATTACCAGCTACCCCGTCAGCTAGAAGAGGCAATATGTGATATTTTGCTCTAAAACAGAGATTCAGATGGGCTCAACCTTACACAGACCACTGCAGATTCATGAGTAAGGAGAATTTCCTCAAGGGAATACATTAGAAAAGTCATTCTAGACAAGTAAATAAGCTGGTTTGAGCTAGTACCTATCTACATCTGTCATGTTTCTTTGGAGAAAATAATTCTATAAAACTAATCAGTTACAAGAGGTAAAGCTATCTAGAAAGTGAGTTGGTTCTTTTGGGATCAATATAGGATATATATGTGTTAAAGTGAGATTTAAGAAGATGTGGGTTGGAATGGTGCCTCTCATGTTTACGCACTCTCACCATGCACAAGTAAATTAACCTCTGAGGCTCAGTTTCCTCTGTAAAATGAAGGAGCTCTAACATCCCTTCTAGTTCAAAATCGATGATCCTATGATTCAAAGACAAAATGATTTCTTATTCTGAAAGAGGACTAAATACAAGCACTTTGTAAACCTGGTTCAAAGATAGAGGTGCCAACCCTTCTTACCTGTAAGGCTGTATTTATACAAACCCACGCGTAGACGCTTCACTGGCAACAGTCACAAAACCCTTCTCTCAAACTGTAGCACGTACTGTTATGCTGCTCCATAGTTGAGGTTTAGATGGCAACACCTGTGTGTCGTTGTGACCCCAGCCTAAGATTTAGATTTTAGGTCGATACATCATCTGGCTCATCCCCTTTCCTTCTGGCAGGTAAAGTATGCCTTATGATGCAGCCAAAAGTAGTCCAAAAACTTGGAGACGAGACCTAGGATGGAATTCCAATGTTTATATTTACCAACTCTGTGACCTAATCTTTCAGACCTTCAGCTTCCTGCAATGTGGGCATAAACCTGCCCATAATGAGAAACAGCTTGATGGAATGGTTAGAGCCCTGGGCTTAGAGTCAGAAAAACCTAAATTCACATCCGATCTCACGTAATTATTAGCTGTGCAACATTGGACAAGTCATGTAGTGCGCTCTACCTCTACCTTGCAAGGTTGGCAAATGGTGTTTGATGCAGAGGAATGATAAGTGACAAAAGCTAACTAGAGATGGTCATTTGACTGATAATCGAGAATGGTGCTAAATCTCAGCCTCTTACAGAACCCACCATGACAGAATAAAGGGCTGCTGCTTCCTAAAGCCAGTGGTGATTGGGACAAGAAACTAGAAAAGCAAGAATCCCTTGGGGCTTAATTCTTCCTATTCAGGCTGGGTCCCCTCACACAGACTTCTTTGATGGGAGTCGTTCAAAATTATCAACCAAAACGTTTCTTATGTGCCAAGAAATAATGCTAAGTTCTAGGGATAAAATGGCAGAACTAAAATACCTTGAGTTATGCTCAAAGAGCTTACATCCCAACCATATACATTTGTTGAGTCAGCCTGTGAAAAGAAATCATCTTCGTTGTGGCCCACTCCATTACAATTTTACCCAGTGCTTTCATGGACAACTTCGGGTTGCTTTTGCTTGTTCTAGGACATCGATTGTGACAGAGAATGAAAGGCAATACTTGAACAATTGTTTGCTTTAGCTTCAGCTTATAGAATGCCCTTCACGTGTATTGACTGTTTTTTGGTTTTTTTTTTTTTATCAGCACAACAGTTGTGGTGTAAATAAAGCCAAAGAATATCATTTTTGCACTAGGGTCATTTTATCCTTTTACAATTTATGGCACTTAGCTTCTGGCTTTCACTGCTGCTTAATGATTGTTCAACTCTTCCTTTAGTAACCCCCTATTTCATTCCCCATAGTTACTGCTCAAACCCTCAAATGCTCCACCATAACCCCATTCTGATGCTCACAGATTAGATAATTCCTACTTAGGAATGGGGTGGGGAAATGGTGGCCCTCTAGGTCCGTAAGCGCAACCTTTTGACTGAATCCAAATTTTACGGAGCAAAACCTTGCATTTTTATGAATACATTTTCATTCACCTTTTACATTTTTCTTTTCTTTTTTAAATGAATGTATTTAACATGTCAAAGAACAAAATAAGTTTCAATGAAATGATCCTCCCAGGTTGACTGCCCCAATTAGAGCATTAGGAAGCCATAAGGGCTAAACTGAAGGCTACTACACTCACTACTGAGTTCCAACTCTCCCCGCCTCCCTACCCCCGCAACTGGCGCTACTACCACATCAGGCTGGTTGATGAGAGTTTATGGGAGTCGAGTATGCCAGTCTGTTATCAGCTTTAGACAAAGGTGCACTGTGTTTCTGATTGAAGTAGAATGTGTGAATGGTTGCACAACTGGACAGTATTTGTTAATTCCATCTGCTTAACAGCCCATCATGTCAAAGAACACCAAGAGAATGCTGGAAAAAGAAAAAAGGTATCTTTTAATGAGTTTTGGGAATTGCAATATAAGCTTGTTTCTGCTAAAAGATAAGACTTGCTTACTTTGTGATACTGCAATATTAACATTCAAGAAATTCAATGCTCGTCAGCATAATACTCAGAAGAACCAGAAATCTTTTCAATGAGAGGGAGAGGCACCAAAGCTTGTCTTCCACAAATTAAAAGATGTAAAGCAAAAGCAAAGACAATTCTTGCAAGTGGAAAGAAGACCTGGAAATCATGCCACTGAAGCGACTTATTAGTTAGCTTATATACACAGGGGAAAAAGGGCAGCCATTCAGTAAGGTAGAAATTGTGAAAGAATACATTGTCGAAGTTGTAGGATGCTTAGCCCTGATAACGTTCCTGCCTCTTTCAAGGACAAGCATAACTGATTAGCAGCATGAATTAGCCTTCAACTTAACGGAACGACTTCATGCAATACTTCAAAAAGAAAATGTATATTATTCAATCCCTTTGGATCAATCAACTGATACTAGTGACTCAGTGCAGGTTATATATACTTCATTTGGCTCCCAACAGAAGATTTTCACTGCTACAAAGAGCTACTTGCTTTGGGCACTCTTGCCAACAGAACCCGGGGAATGGATATATGCAAATCATTTGAAGAAGATGCAGCTGTTACAGACCTATAAATTGGAAAATACGATGAAAGGTTCACTGAATTTGAGAATCATGACATCACACTCAAATTAGCATTTCAGCCTCATCTAGTTGATCTCACCAAGGCACTGAAAGACTACAGATGGAATTGACTGAGCGCTCAGTAGATGTCATTTTAAAGTCATCCTTTGAGGCAAAAAAGATCCAATTGAAATATGGCAAAAATGCAGCAGAATACCCACACCTTTGGCAACACGCCCAAAAAATGCTTTCTTGCTTTTCAGCCACTTCTTGCTGGGAACGTACATTCTCCTACCTCACCCAAATCAAGATGCCCTGAAGGTCACAAATGACCGATACCCATTTGGAACATCACCTGAAACTGTGGACCTCCATGCTGCAACTAAATATGCAAATGCTTTCCAACAAAAACTCATTAAAAGGTTAGTTCGCTTTAAAATTAACAAATACTTTTCATTTTTTGAAATGAAGTACATAGGACTTCCATTTTGACAAACTAATCCACATTTTCAAGTATCTATCTGAAGTTTCTTGAATGTGGCCTTATTTGATTGCGGCCTTTTAACATGAAAAGTTCCCCAGCGCTGGCTCAGGAGGTGGAGGCCAGCTCCACTTCCCTCAGCCCTCAACCCTGTCAGTGTTATCACCCATCTTCTCTCTTCCCAGAACTATCCTTACTCTGAATCCTCCAGATCCCACATCCCAACCTGCCCGCCAGATATCTCCATTTGTCTACTGATGAACCCATTAAATACAACATGTACAAAACCAAACATTATCTTTTGCCCTAAACAATCCAGACCAGTGTCCTGTGCTCAAAACTTTGTTTCTGGACTCTTCCCTCTCCTTCACCTCTCATGTCGAGTCATTAAGTGCTACAGATTGCACCTCTGAAACACCTCACATCTGTCTCCTTCTCTCTCTTCCCGCTGCCAGCATCCTACAATAGACCTTTATCACCACCATCGTGGACTATGATAAATAGCCTCCTAACAGATTTTTCAACCTCTCCTAACTCCCCACTGCAAGCCCTCTGTCAAACCAATCTTCTTTATTGCTCTGCTCATAACTCTTCTGCTCAAATATGTTCAGTGCTTAACCTGTTTCCTACTAGTTCAAGTTCAGTCTCCTCTGCCTGGCATTCAAGACCCTTCATAAAATGAGGCCACCTTGTGCTCCTTTGTCCACATGCTCCGATAACAGCCCAAGTGGACTACTCTATGCTCCTGAAAAAACCCTCCTTCAATTGCCTCTGTGTCTTGGTAATACTCATCGCTTTGCCTACAGTGACCTCTTCAAGCTGTCACCAAACATCTCTTCCTTGAAGCTTTCCCTCTTCATTGTCCCCTGTAGGTTGTAACCTTTCCATTGGACCTCACACACCTTTAATATGACTTTCATTTGGACCTCTCTAATACAATTTTTCATGGTATGTTGTGCATTATACTTGCCTAAGTGCCTTACTTCTGGACTAGACTATACATTCCATGAGGCCTTCTGTTCCCCCCCCCAGTACTCAAAACAGTGCTCTGCACAGAGTAGCTACTTAGGAAGAACTTCATGAAACAAGATTTAGAATTCAGAGTGATATGTGAACTGTACAGAGTGACCAGTTTGGAAGATATCATTCAGCAGTTAACACACCTCGAAAGAGCCTCCCAACTGCTTTTTCCTTTGGACCACTGCTCTGCCAGGCTTGCATTTAGGTCCCGTTGTTCCATTCACTTTCATTCAAAGAATATCACAATAGGAAGGGACATCAGAGGTCATCTTGTCCGAGCCATACTTGAATGAGAATCTTCTCTCTAACTTTTTGGACAAGTACTTATAGGACCATTACTTGAAGACTTGTAATTGAGGGAAATTTACTACCTCATGAGGGAGCACTTTCTAAGTTTGAACATCTTTAATTACTGGCTAATATTGGGTAATGCTGTATACTTAGAGATTTCAAACAGATTTGAGGCTCTTTCCAAAGATGAGAGCACTAGCTGTTCTGTTTCTCCTTCAAAAACTGATACAGTAGAACTATTAGATTTATCCCAAGGAAGAAGAGAAGAGTACTAGGGGTTGTTGATTCCTGCACAGGAGTACTGAGGCACATATTTTTGAACTAATAGCAGTAATGGAGAGGTCTTTTGTCTTTTAAGCTATAGCACAGACCTTTCCAAAGGCTTATCAAAATAGATGACAGCTACTCATTTCTGGTGATTCATGTGGACACAATTGGTATTAACTGGAAGAAATCTAAACAGAATTTCCAATCATTATGAATTCTTGGGCTAGAAATTGGAAATTACGTGGCCACAGAATGTATTTTTTTTTCTGGCTGTATAGAGCCCACTTGAGGCTAGAGATGAATAAAACACAAGGTGATGTGGGTAGTGAACAGGTGACTTCGTAGGTGGTGTCTCAGAATAGGATCTGTATTTCGGGACCATGGCTTAGAATATAGTGTTAACAAATTTCTGCCACAAGATGGAGTACATGAAGAAATTTCATCCTTTAAAAGAGAGAGGAACCCTCCAAGGGGGAATTCTATTCTCTGTCTGTCTCACTAAGAGAACCAGTGGCTGCTGTGAACATGATGGAAACCCTGGAAGGAAATAACCATTCCCTCCTAGAATCTGTGACAGAGGAGAGAGAATCCTAGAATATCCTGACACATAATAGATTTTGGGAGTGGTGAAAGGAAAAGATCTGATACTATAGACTAAAAATCATACTACAGAAATCATCCCAGGAAGAACTCTTACAAGGGAACTTACAAACGAAAACTATTCCAGTGAGGAAAGAAAGCATTAGTTTGAAGAGACCCATGTGGATGCACTGGAATCTCATCCACCAATAGAGATTTGCTTTCAAGAAATTTCAGAAGATGGTAACAAGGCCAGGCAACTGAGGGAGAATAGAAGAGCATCATATAGTCCTAAAAAAGCAATGCCAGGAGAGCTCAAGTTCATAATGACCTGAGACTGGTACAGGAAGGTAAAGGCAGCCAAATGTAGGTGGAATGGGGAGAAAAAGAGGATAAATAAGAGATGGAACCTTTGATTGGGGTGGATGAAATGAGAAGTGACAACAGAGAAAAGGCAGAGATACTCAAATCTAATGTGGCTCCTATTTGCCAATGAAAATGACCTTTGCTCTGGAAATGGCAAAACTAAAATGACTGATACGGAGTTGATGCCCAAGGTGTGGAAAGAGATAGAGTACAACAGTACCCAGTTCACTTTGACAAATCCAAAACATCTAGCCCAGATGAACTACATACTCACATACAAAAAGCAAAACAACACAACACAACAACAGCTAAACAAGCAAACAAAGAAATCAGACAGTTGTATTTGCTGAGCCAGTAGCACCTGAAGAAATATGGAGGGAAAGAGAGGAACCACCAAACTGGAAAAAGATGAATTTCATAATTTTCAAAACAGAAAAAGAGCAAAATGTACAAACTACACGCCAGAGAGTTTTAATTGCTCACTAAAGAAATGGTTGACAAATACTGAGAAAAGGAAGTCATGATTATTACAGAGAGCCAATATGGCTTGAAGTATAGATCATGCCAGATGAACCTCATTTCCTTTTCTGACCAAAGGACTAAACTAGTAGATCAAAGGATTTCTGTTGCCCTGGACTTAGCAAAGCTTTTGATAAAGGATACCATACTCTTCTTGAAGAGAAGATAGAGAAATATGGACAAGATGATAACGTAATCAAATGGATTCAAAACTGGTTGAATGACTGAATTCAAATTCCTACTCTTTCAGTAATGGTTCAAAGTTAACCTGGAAGGGAGTCTTCACCCTCTGGGGTACCCAAGTGTTCTTTTTTTTTTTTAGCTTTCATTCACATTGCATCTTTTACCAGTTACATGTAAAAACAATTTTTTACATTTCTTTTTAAAATTTCTGAGTTCCAAATTCTCTCCATTCCTCCCCCTCACCCCCCTCATCCCCTTAGAGAAGGCAAGCCATTATATATAGGTTATACATGTGCAACCAGGCAAAGCATAACCATGATATTCATGGTTGTAAAGAAAACAGAGACAAAAACTTTAAAATAGGAAGTAAAAGCCCAGAAAATATCACCCCAGGAAAAACCATGGAACAGCTGAACCAGAAGAAAAACAGGGCACAGCAGTCCAGTAGCCCAGGTAACTTGAGGGATTAACAGGAAAGGGCCCTCTTGCCCTGGGGAGCAGTACAAAATGAGAGGAGTCCCAGCAAGCCAGTGGAAAGCCCCAGCTTAGCAGACAAGGAGGAGATCCTGAAACCCAGGTGGTACAGCAGGCAGACACCAACACCAGGAGCCCCAAGGGCCTCAGTGGGGGTAGGGGAACCTGTGGAAACCAGCTCAGAAAACCACCAGGTGCCTGGGCATTCTACAGCAACCGGGTCTTCTGGTGCCTCAGCAAAACTAAGGGAAGCAGCCCTGCAAGGGGCCCCAGGGAGATAAACATCCTGCAACATCCATCTGAAAGGAGCTGAAGAAAGCCAAAAAGGAAGGAAAGGCCCAGGTCAGCAGGAAATCTCCAGGGGCCACACTACCCAATCCTACCCCTAGACTTCCAGTGTGGCTGATTCCAGCCCAACGGCCGGTAAGCTGCCAGAACCCAATGGCCTCCACCTGCTAACATCGGAGGCCCCAGCACACAAAGCCAATGACCAGGCCCTAGGCTCCCAACACAAGAAGCTTGAGTCAGTGCCCTCTGCTCCCCAGCAGGAGAGCTCAATCTTTTGAAAGGCCAGGAAATAAGCAAACACCATGGGTAAAAAGAACACGTTCCATCCATTCTTATTATGGGAACAGTGAAGATCAAGGCAGAAATTTGGAAGAGGACAGCATTGTCAACACACCCACATTTGGAAATCAAAAGGCAATATGAACTGGTCTGAAGCCCAAAAAGCCACCTTAGAAGAGTTCAAGAGGATTTTCAAAGTGAAATGACAGAGGTGGAAGAAAAAATGGGAAAAGAGATGAGAGGTATGCAAGAGAGTCAATAGCTTGAAAAAGGAGGGGCAAAAATGAACTGTAGAAAACAGTCCTTAAAAAATACAATTGGCCAACTAGGAAAAAAGTACGCTGAAGAAACCAAGTCCCTAAAATATACAAGTGGCCAAATGGGGAAGGAAGTACAAAATCGAATAGAAGAAAAGGAAAGTAAAAAAGAAAGTGTGCTTCAATCTCTATTCAGATACCATCAGTTCTTTCTCTGGGGACAGACAGCATTTTCATCATAAGTCCTTCAGAGTTGTCTTGGATCCTTGTATTGCTCAGAATAGCTAAGTTCTTCACAACTCCTCATCTTACAATATTGCTGTTACTTTGTACCTACTACATTTGACTTTGCATCAGCCCACACAAATCTTTCCAGGTTTTTTCTGACAGCATCCTGCTCTTCATTTCTTATACTACAATAGCCTTCCATCAGACTCACATACCACAACTTGTTCAGTCATTCCCCAATTGAGGGGCTTCCCTTCAACCTATAATTTTTACCCCCCCAAAAAGAGCTGCTATAAATATGTTTGTACATAGAGGTCCTTTCCCTTTCCATTGTTGACCTCTTGGGGGATACATTCCTAGTAGTGGTATTGCTAGGTCTAAGGGATGCAAGGTTTGAGAGCCCTTTGGGCATAGCTCCAAATTGCTCTACACAATGGTTAAGTCAGTTTACAACTCCAGTAACAACAATGCATTTTTCCCACATCCCCCATTATTAGGCTAACAATGGTCCTGGTCCATACCGATGACCCCAAGATAACTGCCTCAGTGGTCTCCAGTACTCCAAGTTCTTAAATGTTAACAAGTATGCCACTTCACCAGCTGAGAAACTTCATTTGGGTTTACAAAAGGGGCAGAAAACAGCTTTCTCCTAATGGCCACAAGTCAAAATTACTAACAGTCTTGTTCTATAAGGTACCTTTGTTTCTGATCATAAGTAGGCATCCTGCCCACTCCAGGATAACTTAGGAGACAAGAAATCAATTGTGAATCTTGAAGCAAGAGGATCACAAGTAATGTGGCAATGAATAACTAGCCTACTGTCTGATGACAATGTTTGAAAAACAGGATTGAGTTCAGGGCATAGAAATGAGCTAACACTTGGCCAAGTCACTGTAGCTCATCTATTTGGGCTGAAGGTGTCTTGTCTCCTCTCCACAGAGAGAAAGCTATCATTCCTTAGGGTTTTAAAAATGGGATTCTGTTAGACTGCTCTGAGCTAGTAAGCAAGAGTCAATCCTGTGGTGATACACTGTTTACTTTGAAATAGGACAACTGTAAACTGTCCTCTTAAATTATACATAGAGGAACATTAGCAATCCAAATTCATTAAGGCGATTTTGCCAGTTTGCATAGACACTAAGGAGATCTGTACACTGAACGGCATTAAGGAATTCTCATGTGGCACTAAGAAGCCCAAATGTGCCGACCGAAATATTATGTAACAAAATATTTATAGGTGAACAACTCTTGAGCTGGTTAACATCAATACTGTACATTTGACAGTTTTATCAACTACATAGTTTGAGTTACAAAAGAAGATCATGCATTATTTATCAAGTGTAAGCTTTTTTTGAAAAGCCCCATTGTTTGAATGGTTAGTGGGGGTAGTTTTAGGTACAAACATTGAGTCCACAAAACACAAATCCAGTTTCTTTTGGCTGTTGGTAATTCAAAGAAACTTCTCCAATGACTAAGTTACTCTGAGAAACATGTAGCCCAGGAGATTTTTCTAAGTTAATTTGTGCAATTGAAAGGGTTTGCCAATAATCCTTTTTTAAAGATGTTCAACTTCCTGTACAAGGAGAAATGACATTTCCCAATCAAATTACATCATTTAGAACAGAAATTCTCCAAATGTCCATTTTCTACTTTTCACTTTTTTTGTTAGCAGCAATACTTTTTTCTGAACCTATTTTCAAGCCAGTTACAATTTGTTCTTCAGATCAGGCTGTTTGAAGGACACAAGATCTCATTTCAAATTGTGGCACCCAAAATTCCTACAAAGTGTAACAGCACTCAATTTTCATTGATAGCAGCAGTTTACAGAACAAGTTTTCAACGTAGGTTAACAATTTGTGTACTGAATAACAAAGTGTTTCAATGACATGGACTTTCCACTTTCCACTCACTAGTTACCATTTGGAATATTTACAAATGTTGATAAAAGAATGCTTTCTAACCGCACATCTCTCCAAAATGCTAGAGTTTTACACTTAACCCTCAGTTCTGACCCAATTAGGGAGGGTCAGGTTTTAGCTGTTGTAGAACTTTGTACAGGAAAAAGAACTTACAAACTGCAATCCCAATCTTTCTCAAATGAAGAGATTCAAGTGTCCCACTTCGAAGTTTTCATTGGGAGTGATATTTAAGGGGTTTGTTTGTAGAATATTTAAAAGGTTCTCCAACAAGGTAAGCTCCCCATCATCTCCTCTGTTGGCTGTTGTTTGCCAGGAAAGAAAAGGAAGAAGCTCCCAGGGAGCAAAAGGAATGGCAGACACTGAAAGAGAATGTGTATCAGCTTGATGAGAGTGTGGTAGCTGTAGTAGTGGATGAATGAAACAAACCCACTGAAACAGGTGGTCTATGATCAAAATGACTAATTGTATAAAATAGGGTTTCTTTGGTTTTTTCCACTGAAAAACAACTTGTGCTTATCCTAGGGCATTCTGCACAAAAGGATGAAAGGATGATAAATCAGAGGGAGGTGGAAGATGAATCTTAATGCTATTTTTCATGAGCCTATTTTGTCCATTTCCAGGGTCTAGGTATTATGATAGTGGCATCTCATGCTGAAATGTCACCATACTCGGCACTGGGAAAATCTCCTGTCTTTCAATCTAAAGGAGGGAAAAGATACCACATGTATACAAAACAATACCGTCTCAGGGTAGAGAAATGGTGTTTAATACACATCTAGTCTCTCTGAAATTCCAAGAAGTCGTGAGGGCTCTAACATATCTGAAACAAAGTGGCACTATAAACATCTTCCCCGTTTCAAATGAGCTCTAAAACTCAAAACCACTAGAGGAGGATTCCTTTCAATGCCTCAGTACTTTAGGAAAGTCCCTAATCATCTCTCCCCCTGACTTCCTTTAAAAAAAAAAAAACTCCAGACAACCACTTCAGGTAAGTTGGTGTGAAAACTAGAATACAGAACAGTCTGAAAAATTAAAAAAGAAAACCAAGTATTTGAGGAAAAGGAGAGGGCAGAGTTAAGGCATCTTTAAAAAAAAATCCCCTAGGCAAGTCACTTAACCCCAATTGCTTAAATAAATTTAAAAAAAAATTTTTTTAATCCACATGGCTTTGGTTTACCGAAATGTGTGTACACTGTTAAAGAGAAAAGGAAATATGTCAAAGCATGTGGAAAATATGAAAACTCTCTGCATACATAGTAGGATAATTCAGACACTTTATACATGTGAATATCAAACTCAAGAGCCTTCTCCATGTGAACCTCCGTATGCTCACCTAGATACTGATCTTACAGAAGATGGTAACCCCTAAGTCTGGGCAGAAGTTACTTACCAAGAATTGTTGTCTGCAAGGGTGGGAACCACGGAATTTCATTGGTTGGTGAGCAGCCCGACTTGAATTTTTCCAAATAGTCGGTTTGTGCAGGTTGATGACACTCCAGAACTTTAATGGCATCTTCAACCTTCCTTGCTATGAAAAAAGAATCCTCCCAGGGTTGCAATAGATCCCTAAGTGCGATGCTTGCCGTCTTGATTGTGTTCACAGATCCCCAGGAGTCTGCCTAATTTTCCTTTTCCTGCGCTTGTCTTCCCGCAGCTCCGCCTTGCTCTACCTCGGGCTCCATTCCTCCACCGGGAACAACGCACTGATCTGGATACGGATCCCCTCTCCTTCCCTCCCCCCTACCCCTCAGCCCACGGAGTAAGTGAGCCCAGGCAGCCCCGCTTCTAGCCACGCTCGCGGCCAAACGTCAGTCCTCCTCCTCCGGTTCGGCTTCAACTTCATCCTGGAGGCGGCTTCGTCCCGCCGCGACCCCGACCAAGGGCGCGGGGAAGGAGGGAAGGAGGGAGAGACGAAGGGAGGAGGGGGAGAGAGAAGGGCGGGAGGAAGGGAGGAAGAGAAGAAGGAAGGGAGGGACGGACGGAAGGAAGGAAACAAGAATGGGAGCGCCAGAGCGCCGGAGCTGGGACACGCCCAGGAGGCTGCGCCTCTGCAGCCAGAGAAGCCACAGGTCCACGCGCAGCCAGCCCGCCGCCCGCCCCCTCTCTCTATCCCACTGAAAGCCTTTCCAGGCCTCCAGGCGCGCCGAGGCCGCGGCAACGTGACGCCCGCGGAGCACAGGCAGCGGGCGCTGCGACTCCTCCCTCGCGGCTGCGGCTCCGCCCTGGAGGCTGCGGCTCCGCCCCGGCGCCTGGGACAGCACTGCCCTGGAGGGAAGGGTCGCCCTCCAGCTTTTTAGGGCGTCACCTTGGGGCTGGTTCCTCCTCCCAGGGACACTTGTTTCGAAACTGAAGGAAGGAAAGCAGACGCCAAGCCGAGGAAGCTCAAGGAGAGAGCCTCATTCATGAAATAATCCTTGGTCTCCTTGCCAGCCAGAGAAACATGACAGCCCAAGACAGCGCTAGTTTGGAGTAGAAACTCAGTCAGTCAAACATTGTGGCGGAATAGGAGGGAAGACTACCAGCAATGTTGCCTCCTGCGAGTGTAAAAAGCAGCGAAAGAGGAAACCAGCCTGCAGAAAGCTTGGTGTGACACTCGAGTGTGTGATTTATGGAGGAAGCTGGGAAGACAGCAGATGTTCAAAGGATCTGACTTTCATCTCTCTAGCAATTTGTTATCAGTGACAGTGGATCCCATACATTTAGATTGTGAGGCGTCAGCACCCCCGTGTACTGCACGAGGATATAGAAATGGCACAATAGCATAGTAGGCTTAGACATGGCAATCACCTTTGACAGCTTGTTAAACTCACTTTTTTTTTAAACGATGCCGAAGTAGCATTCAAGTAAAGAAAGAAGGAAAGGCTGGACTTGAGCAAAAATACACACACAGATACACACACACACACACACACACACACACATATACATACATACAGAGGGAGAGAGAGACCAGAGTGTTAGGAACAACACAAATTTAAAGGCACTCTGAGATTTATTTTCAAAATAACTCAAATTGGAAAAGATTGCAAAAGAATGGAAAAGATGAAGAAACGCATTGTTTTCCATTAAAAATCCAAAGAGAAGACTTTTGGTAGCTACCAACCCATATGATTACTTTCTTATTCCTAAAATATAAATAATTATGAAAAATGAGCTATGCCTGCCTTAGAAAAGAATATGGAGATATTGTCACTCCCTTGCAGAGGAGACTAGGAAAGTATCAGTAGCTACTCAGTCATATGCAGAACTAGGTAGAAGAGGAACAAGAGATTTAGGGGATGCAAAAAATAATCTCATGAATCTAATGATTAAGCTTATTTTCAATGAAAGGAGCTCCCTTGGGTGGCTGTGGTTTGTTGCTTCCTTTAAGGTCTTCAAGGCACTTCAGGACAAATTTCAAGGAGACTGGACAGGTTTTCATTTCCTTGGGGCCTTGAGCCAGTTCCAAAAGCTATGGACTGGCCCGATTTAGCCAAGCTGCAAGTAATGTTGCATTGCTTTCTGAAGACTCTTTGAACACAGGCTGCTCTGTACTATTTTGAGATATCCTTCAATGTTTCTGAGGTCACTGATTGCATTGGGTACCCCAGGATGTCAGCTGGTTAAATGACAAAACATCAGTTATTCTATGTTATTGTATCTGAGTCAGAAGATAAAGAGCTACAGGAGATACATAGGGTATTCTAATGACGTTTTGGATTTGCACAGTACTTTAAAAGAAAACCAACACTGCCATATACCTTATCTCATTGGATCCTTACAACAACCCTGTCCTGTGAGACAGGGAAAGCATTACTTTAATTTTAAAGATGAAGAAACTGAGTGTAGAAGTGACTTGTCCAGTATCAAATAGCTAAATGTTATAGAACTGACAATGCAGCCTGGGTCATCTGACTCTCTTATCGGGTATTTTCATAGTACATCATGCTGTGTTCTAAAGCCTACTAGTGATTGGGCTCTTGAGGGGAGGAAAGTTTGTCTTTGGATGGGGAGGCACTGGAAAGTCTTCCATCAAAGTGAAGCCGAACAAATATATTACCAAGATCGATTAGTGAACTGAACTTCTAATGGTGACAGGCAATGACACCCTCCCCCTGCCCGAGAAAGAAATAGAATATTCCCTGGATCCTGGAGCAAAACACTTAATTACCTTGTGTTTTCCTCCCCCTCCACCTTACCAAAGAAGTCTTCTTTTGACTTGCTGAGGGAACTCAGGTTTTTGCATAGATAAGTCTCTGTAATGGTTTCAGATCTCCTGAGTGTAGGCATATATATATATGACACACACATACACACACACACATGCATATACATAGATAAACACATGGAGATGTATACATATTATATGTGTATACGTGTATTGTACATATGTATACATATGTATGTATGTGGGTGGGTATATGTACATATATATGTATATATACACACAAACATTGTGTGTGTGTGTGTGTGTATTTATCGCTAATGGTATTGAGTCAGTGATTTCTTCATTGTAGAAACTCCCCACTTGAAAACACCCTCATGCAGGTGGGCAACTCATCTGCAACTTCTAGCCATTGTTCTTTCCATGGACTTTGCAGTAGTCACTGTGTTTGTGTATTTGTGTGTGTGTGTGTGTATATGTATGTGTGTATTCCAGAAAGATCAAATGATAAATGAAGTCCTTATGTGCAGTACTGACTGATTTCTGAGGTGCTGATTTTCTGAGCTCACACTGAAACTCCTCTGTAGGGGTCTGAGGAGGTTCCAGCACAACAGAAATTATGTCTAGCTCTACAACCCTCAGTCAAAAGCTATGGCCACTTGAGTCATTTTTCATATAGTACTAAATTATTTGAACAATTCACATTTCCCCCAGCAATGTATTTGTGTACCTGTCTTTGCCAGTCCTTTCAACATTGACTATTGCCATCTTTGTGAATTTGCTGAATGGGAGGTAAAACTTCAGACATGGCTTGATTTGCCTCTCTCTTCTTATTAGTGCTTTGAATCACTCTTTTGTTGTAAAGAGCTTGCAATTCTCCTTTTCAGAAAACATTTTTCATATACTTTTTATAATTGCCTCTTTCCAACAATTGGTTCATAATTCACTCCCTAGCCATAACTTGAAGAGGCACAGGCGGGGGGGGGGGGGGGCAAAGAGAAGAGCGAAGGCAATAAGCATGCATTCAGTGCCTGCTTTGTACCAGGTGCTGTGGTTTGCTTTAGATACATTCTCTTATTTGATTCTCTTCGTTCCTAGCTTTTAAGATATTTTCTCTAATATCTGGTTCCCATCCATTTTAAAGTCATCACAGTATATTATATGAAGTTATTATTCTAACCTAATTTGTGCCAGACTCTTCTAATTTTCCCATCCATTCGTATCAAACAGGGAGTCTTTCCTAGGTAATTTCTGTTTGCAGCTTTATTGAAGCTGGGCTATTTAGTTCAATTATTTCTGATTTTTCCATATCTAGTCTGCTGCACTCATCTCCATTTTTTTAAACATACCGATCAGTGTTAAGGATTACTGTTTTACAATGCAGTTTGAGGTCTGGAAGTGTTATTTATCATTTTTCCTGCTTTTTCATTATGTCCCTTGATATGCTAAGATCTTTTGCTATGGCAAATGAATTGTGTAATTATTTTGTCTAACTCTGTAATGAATTCCTTTCGTAATTTTCTATTTATAGCACTACATCTGTCAATTGATTTGGTAACATTGTCACTTTCATGATATAAGCATAGCCAGGCCATGAACTCTGACTACCCCTCCCTACCGCCAGTTATACAAGTTCCTTATTTCTTTAAGGAGTATTGACTTTCCAATTATTTCTTATGCTTTGTAGTTATGTTAAATTTAACTTTCCTTTCTGTTAATGCCTCCTGTGTTTTGCTGTGACCAATTACAAATGTTGTTGATTAATATTTGCAAGAGGTGACAGTGACAGATGGGAGGTTGGAGATGGCAGTTTTTTTCCAACTGTCATCTTAATGAGTTTGTTTGAGGTTCCCATATGATTTTCTTAGTAAACTATCTGGTCATCATCAAACTGAGATAGTTGTATACACACTTTGTCTTCTTTCTCTTGTGCTCGTCATTTCTCTCTCTGTCTCTGTCTCTCTTTGTTATTGCTAACGTGTAGATTTTTTTTGTTTTAAAGATGAGAAAGGGGGCTATCCTAATATTTATTAGGAAAGCTTCTAGGGTTGTCCCACTGCTAAAATGGTAACCTTTGGTTTCATATATAGTGATAAGAGTTAGACCTCTGATTACATTGGTATAGGGGATTCCCAGGTGAGGAAACTCCCTCTCCCAATGCACGTTGGCACCTTCTCTGTAATTTATAATCTAAGAGACTTTCCTAGAGAACTGAGAGGTTGACTAAGTGATTTGCCCAGGTCACACTGTCAGTATATATCAGAAAGGGAATTTGAATCCAGAGCATTAAAGAAGTGAAGGGAATCATGGAGGCCATTGGTTCTGAAAGTCTCATTTTACACATGAGGAAACTGAGGCAAAGAGATACTTTATTTCTCCTTTATTAAACAGTTCATAAGTGTCAAGGGCAGGATCTAAACCCAGCTCCTATCTCTCTTTCCACAGTACATTTGGCCCAAGTGGAAAACTTCCTTGTTGAAATTTTGTGTAGAGCAGTTCTTATTTTTTAATCTCATTCTTTAAAACTCTGGTCAAGCTCATATCAAAATAATATAAAATCATTTTAGTGGGTTAAGATTTAATCTATGATTTATCAAGTGTAAGTCTTTCTACTTGAGAGAAGTGCTCGCACGACCAGGGGATAGCACAAAGCATTCTGCTAGAGCCATTTAACTGCTCTACCTAATGGATGTTTTTGGCTGCCTTAACCTTTACTGTCTGAGCAGAAGTCAGAAACAGCAATAAATTGAAGGTGCCATGATGATTATTTAGCTCATTCCCTCAATGAGCTTTCAAATATGGTGTCATAGCTAAAAAAAAAAAAAGACACTACATATTTTCCTTATCCAACCTCTGCCCCATTGACATTCTAATGTCTCTGTGTCTTGTTGCCATAAAGTAAACCCATCTCCAGAAAAGTGATCAATTTATTTCCTTTAATAAGTCAGTTAGTCAACAAAGCATGCATTAAGTGCTTCTTATACTCCAGGCATTATGCCAAGTACCAGGAACAGAAAGAAAGGCAAAAATATTCCCTGCCCTAAGACATTTACATTCTAAT